CCCTACTTTCTTCAATTTAAGTCTGATTTTGGCAATAAGGAATTCATGATCTGAGCCACCATCAGCTCCCGGTCTTGTTTTTGCTGACTGTATAGAGCCTCTTCATCTTTGGCTGCAAAGAATATAATCAATTGGATTTCGGTGTTGACCATCTGATGATGTCTATGTGTAGAGTCTTCTCTTGTGTTGTTGGAAAAGGGTGTTTGCTATGACCAATGCATTCTCTTGACAGAACTCTATTAGTCTTTGCCCTGCTTCATTGTGTACTCCAAAGCCAAATTTCCCTGTTACCTCAGGTATTTCTCAACTTCCTATTTTTGCATTCCAGTCCCCTATAATGAAAAGGACATCTTTTCTGGGTGTTAGTTCTAGAAGGTCTTGTAGGTGTTCATAGAATCGTTCAACTTCAGCTTCTTCAGCATTACTGTTATACAGAATGGTGTGCCTTGGAAATGAGCAAACAGAAACCATTCTGTTGTTTGAGATTGCATCCAAGTACTTCATTTTGGACTCTTCTGTTGACTATGATGGCTACTCCATTTCTTCTAAGGGATTCTTGCCCACAGTAGTAGATATAATGGCAAAATGATTTGATTTTGTGAGCTCATGTTACTAAAGTTCATACAAATCAGTAAACTGAAAAACCACTGGATACAATAACTGTGTTTCATAAAAAGTAGTTAAAGGATTCATTCAGCAAACAAACAGATTTTCTATACCCTGGCAATAATCATTTAAAAATACAATGTAAGCATTCTGCTTTTGGGTAGAGTGCAGTAGATCACAGCAGGTCAATACTTAACACCATAATGAGTAGAATCAAATAATTACAAAAATTCTACTTTTATAGACAGTAAGGAGCTTCAGACCAATAAACTAGACAAAATTCTAGAAATGAGGAAACTTTTCTAAGTGAAAATAATAATCTCTGGCTTTTCCTACCACCCACCTATCTCCACTGGTGGTATTTGCTGATTTTGGTCACAAGGCTGCCCATCAGCTGAAGGCAGAGAACTTTTGTTGGGATTTAAAGAAACCAGAAAGCTATTAGACATTTAGAAATTGGAAACCTGAATAGACTTAAACAAATGGTTGTTTTTTCCCTGGGAGCAATTGTGGATTTCAGTGCTGTACACAAGTCTGTAAGGCTAGACAAAAACTACTGAAAGGCAGAGTACAATCTTTTGCATTCTTCATAGTACTTAAGAAAGATCCGCTAGGGAAGTAAGCCTAACCAAAGAACAATGAAACTTCCCACTTCAAGATAAATGCCAGTGTTTGAGGCTTATATTGTTTAGGCTGGAGGCAAGAGAGTCAGGCTAGAATGGAATACTATTAACGCTAAGTCTCCTACAGTGACAGGAAGGAATGGATTGAAAACCCACCGTATTCTCAATCCAGCTCTAACCCAGTGAAATTTCTGACTGAACTGGAGTGATCACTTCCTCATGCTTTCTGCCTGTTGGCAGAACTGAAGACATTATGATGGATGATAAATCATCTCTAACCAATATGGTTCTTTTACACACAAAAACAGATTCATTTGGAAAATATTATAAAAGTTTAGTGATTCCATTTGTAAATAAAAATAAATTTATACACATAAATTACAAATGGATTAAAGTTATTATTTAAATATCTCTATTTTAAATAAATTCACCCAATTGGCAATATAAATTGGCATAACTACCTTAGAAAACAGTTTGTGATTTCATCCAGAAACTATATATTACTGAAACTCAGGAATTTCATTCCTCAGTGTATACTTCAGAGAAACTCTTACATATATTTTTATAAGACTATTATAGCAACACTTTTCTTAACAGCTCCAAGTGGAAATAAGTTGAATGTCCATCAACAGAAGGAGGTCTCAATAATTTGTGGCACAATGTACTATTTTACAGCAAAAAATAAAACAAAACAAATACAGTCCCCCTAAAACTTTAGCTATACACAATATGATGAATCTCATAGCACTGAAAAACAGAAGCAAGGCACAATAGACTGTATTCAATTAATATAAAGTTCAAAGAGAAACAAAAATAAATTATAATATTTATGGATGTATACATATATAGTAAAACTAAATAAAAGCAAGGAACTGATAATGATAAAAATTCAGAATATTGGGTGGAAGAGATGGTTGTGATTGGGTCAAGAATGTATTTGCTCTTTATCCCTTAAGGCTTTGGCCAACATCTATTCACTCTGAGGTGGTTTACTATAATCAATAAATATGCTTAATTCAAACTATGTATGAACTAAATAATGATTTCTGGTGCTAGAAACATTGTAAAAGACTAACACATCTGACAAAAATTGAATTATGCTTCATCAACCAATCATAAACTTTTAAGAGTAAATATACAGATGGTGGCTTAGAGGTAAAGAATCTGCCTGCAATGTGGGAGACCCAGGTTCGAACCCTGGGTTGGGAAGATCTACTATGGGAAGATCCCTTGGAGAAGGCAATAGCTAACTAGTCCAGTATTCTTGCCTAAAAAATTCCAAGGACAGAGGAGCCTGGTGAGCCACAGTTCATGGGCTTGCAAAGATTTGGACACAACTGAGGAACTAACATTTCACTTTTCATACAGATGCATATTTATTTATACATGGTATACTATGGAGAGTATATTTCAAATTTAAATGCAACTGTACTATTTAGATAGTTTTAAATTACTCATATATTAACCAAATAAAATAAACATTACAACCAGATGTTTCACATTACCTCTAACCAAAACAAAATGATATTAGCTGAAAATACTAATGCTGCCAACGAATGCTGACAAGATATTTTATGACAATTTTTCTTCCAACACTTTTGAAAGGAAGAATCAGTTTCACATTTTTTTATGCCTCAGGCCTCAAATGCTCTGAAGTTGTTTTAGATGTAATAACAGGAACTGATGGGGAAAAAAAATCACTTATTATATGTCATCCATGAATCATGCTTCTTTTCCCCAAGGTATCTCTTGAGGAATAACTGTCATAATTCTAGAAGTAAAAAAAATCATAATAAAAAACTACTCTTTTAGAATAGTTGCCTACTAAAAATAGGCAACATTTCTGCTTATTAATTAAACTAATAAAAGAGTATATTTATCTTCTGTTTCTAGGATGGACCTTCCCCAAAGCAACAATTTTGGTCCACTATTAAGATCTCATATAACTCTTTTAGGTAATTCCATTTAGTAGCATGGCTCAACTAATTTTCGTATAATGACAAATCTCAGTATGAACTGAAAGATGGAATTATCTTTCTTTTGAATTACAGGCTGATTAACATAAGGTTACTTAAGAGGAACCTCAAATTCAATAAGTCCAAAACTTACCTCACTTCCTCTCAAACATTCCTTTTTCCTCTCCTCTTTAGATTAACAGCAACACAATCTACTTAGCTTCCCAAGTCAGAAACCTGAGTCAATCTTTCCACTTTCCCTTAAATATTCAATAAATCACCAAGTATTGTTGATTCTATTTTCTTAAATAATATTTCTTGACTATGAGTTCTTTTTCTTCAACTTCATGGTCATGCTTCAGTTCAAGTCTCAATCACTGCCTATATTCCTGCAATCCGGTTTCCTTCCTTATAAATGGAACCTCCTCTTCTCCACTGAAATAAGATCTTTCATTCATCAAAATAAAATCACCATCCTGATTATGCCACTTTCTTTCTTAAAATCACATAATGGCATCCGATAGTTTTCAGTTTCTTAACATGGCATAAAGGTTCATTGCCAGTCCTACATCTCAACAGTCTTTATTTTATACCTGATGATCTGATGTCATATTATCTCCTGTTTATAATTTCACAAATACCTCTGCTTCTGTATAGAATTTCAATTTGCTCAGTATACCTCTTGGAAAGATTTTGCTGATTATCTTTTTGAATAAGTGTCCTACCTATATATTCCATAGAATATTTTCTTCACCTTTATCATTTAACACATATTGCAATTATAAGAGCATGTTTAAGCATCACAAAAAATTAATTTCAACAAGCTCAGTTTTATTAATTCCCATTTTATCTTCTGAAAAATGAGATCTGGATTAGACTTAAGGTTCTTCCCAGTTAAACTATTTTACGAATTTATATCAAGTTGAAAAGAGTATCTTGACATGCCTGACTTTTCTCCCCAACTTTCTGCTAGAATATAACCATGGTATTAATTCCTGATGTTGTCCATACAAAACACCTGAGATACTGAAAGTAACAGAACATAAAGATTAATGAATTCAACTTATTTAAAAATAATGTAACCAATTAAAGAACTATTTACTAACAGCTTGAATTTATTGAAATTGATTTAGAAAAGTGTGATCAAATCAAAGTTAACAATTTGTTAAGATCTTTACATGTCATTGTTAACAGTTTAACTCAGTCTTGTTTATCCAGTTATTAAATTTTATTAATGGAAAAGATAGTAAGTTCAGTTCTCATTAGATTTTAAACTGCTTTTAGAGAAGGGCCACACATTATGCTAGAATACTAACAATCCACAGAATTTAGTAAAATGTAAAGACAGAAAAATGTGACTATGCTGTAATATTCAAAGAGTAAGATCAATTTTTCAGTTATTGTACTGTTAATTTTAGATTGAAACTGGCCTACTATGTTATCAAAGGAGCCAGTAAAATTTATTAGAAGACTAATATTTACAATGGGTGACAGACTATAGGAAAAAGAAATTAAAATGATAAAGAAATACTTTATGCAAAATAATGTTTATATACAGTGCTTTCTTAAGTAAATTTTCAATGAGTTTTACAAGAAAGGGTTCCTTTTTTGATTTTCCTACCATGTATTGATGATGGTAGATGAAATCGGATGATGATTATCTGAGACGTATATTTTAATTCAAACAGAATAACTGGGAGTTAAATGATATCCCAACACAGGTAAAGATTCAATAGTATAAAGAAAAGACAATTTGTTGCCCACCTTCCCGCCAAGATACTAAGTTTTTGTGGAGGTGAAAAATGCCATACTATACCTTGATTTCTTCTATTTCATCTGGTACTATCTTGTATGCTGATATAGTCCCACCCAACCTGAAATTAGGAGAAAAAAATATTCTCAAAACCGGCAACAGTGTATTAAAAAATATGGACTATTTTTGTCATTAGCAGCAGAGTGCCACCAGTAATTGCCCATTACCCACCCCAATAACTATGGAGGAGAAAACAACCATTTTGTGTTCAGGTTTTCCATACAGTTGTTTAAAAAGACAGATAATAAATGACTACTGAAGGAGGAAACATAAGTCAGATTTTTAATCATAATTAAGTTTCTCTTATTGATGGTTTTTATGATGCTCAAACTGCCACTTTGATTATCAGATTCTGTCACAACTAAGATGTATCAAGAACAGTATCTGACATTTCTGTTTTCATGGCATCATGAAACATAGCTAGGTTTAAAATACTTATCAATTCAACACACCATCAGTATCCTATAGCACTGCACTCAGGTAGACTGATTCCAAATTTCATGTTATTTCCCTTACAACATGCTGCTTTCCTGACTCAAAGAAAGACTATGCTAGAAGTAACAGTAGAATAATTTACTCTAGTCAATATGTAAAAGTATTATATTGGCAGTAACAGTGGTAGTTATAGCAATAATATTACAGTTAGTAGTATACTGAGTATTTACTATACGCCAAACATTCAATTGTCAGGTTATACATGTTTATTTTCTCATTTAACTCTAATAAATTATAATAAGGATTATGAAAAAATGAGACAAGCAATTTTTGAAAGTCTCACAACTAAAAATGGCAGACTGGGCTTAAGATAAGCAGTCTTATCTTCCAAAAACTGATGAGCAGCTTTTTAAAATTCATATGACAATTTAAGGGACACAGAATAATCAAACAATCTTGAAAAGATGAAAGTTGGAGGATTTATATTTTCTGATATCAAGTTACTAAAGAGCTACAATAATCAAGACAATGTGGAGCTGGCATAAGAATAGACATACAAAGCAATAGAGTACACCTGAAAGTCTGGAAACAAATATCACATTTATGGTCAACTAGCTTTTGTTTTCCTTTTATTTTATTGTAAATATTGTAATTTGACATTTTAACCATTTTTAAGTGTACAATTAAATGATAAATGATGGGCAACCATCAGTACTGTCTATTTCTAAAACTTACCCATTCCATAAACAGAAACTCTATTAAAAAAAAACAAAAACAAAACCCAGAAACTCTATTATCATTAAGGAATAACTTCTCATTTTCCCCTACCCTCGTTTCCCTGTAACTACTAACCAACTTTGTCTTCACGAATTTGACTACTCTAGGAAACTCACAAAGAGAAACCATACAATATTTGTCCTTTTGCGTCTGGAAAATGTCACTGTGCCTAGTTTTCAAGCTTTATCCACACTGTAGCACCGTATCAGAACTTCATTCCTTTTTTATGACTGTATAATTTCCATTGTATGTATATACCATGTTTATTTATCCATTCATCTGTTAATAGAAACTTAATTGCTTCAATTTTTTGGCTACTGTAAACAATACTGCAATAAACATTAGCATACAATATCTGAATCTCTCTTTCCAGTTCTTTTGGATATTTACCTAGGAGGTGGAACTGCTCAATCATATAGTAATTGCAAGTTTAGCATCTGAAAGACCACCAGTTTTCTGAAGTGACTGTATAGATTTTATTGATACACTACCACCAAGAATGCATGAGGGTTCCAATTTATTCACATCTTCATCAATACTTGTTATTCTATTTTTTTAAATGGCTACCCTAATGGGTATAAAGTATCTTTTCATATTCTTACTGGCCACATGTGTCTCTTATCTAAAGAAATAACGATTCAAGTGCTCTGACAATTTTTAAATCGGGTTTTCTTTTTGCTGGTGAGCTGTATATATACATTCAGGATATTAAACCCTTATCTGAGGTATTATTTCCAGATATTTTCTCTCATTCTGTAGGTTGTCTTTTACTTTCTTGATAATAGACTTTGATGTACAAAAACTTTTAATTTTGGTGAAGTCCAGTTTATGCACTTTTTTCTTTCATTGCTCACCTTCCTGGTGTAATGCATAAGAATCCACTGCCAAATCCAATGTCTTGAAGGTTTATTACTACATTTTCTTGAAAGTGTTTTATTATTTTAGTGCTTCTATTTAGGGTACTGATCCATTTTGAGTTAATGTTTGTATATGGCACGAGATATGATTTTAAGTTAATTCTTTCCCATGTGGAAATCCAATCATTTAGCACCATTTCTTTCCGAAAGCTGTTCTCACAGCTTTGACTCAGCACCCTTGTCTAAAGTCAGTTTTCCATGGATACAGGTTTATTTCTGGATCCTTAATCTTATACTATTGGTCTATAGGTCTACCTTTATTTTTAGACACTATTTTAAATGGAGCAGCTTCTAACTTACTCTTCAGATTTTTCATTGCTGATGTATAGAAACAAATGATTTTCCTGTGTCGATCTTGTACTCTGCAACTTTTCTGAACTTGACTATTGATCCTAGTAACTTTCTTTTGGATTCTCTAGGATTTTCTATACACAGGATCATGTTATCTGTGAATTGAGTTAGATTTACTTCTCACTTAATCATCTGGATACCTTTTATGTCCTGTCTTTGTCTAAATACTCTGGTTAGAACTTCCAGTGCAATGTTCAGTATCAGTGGTGAAGCTTTCCATTTTCCACAACTGAATATGATGTCAGTTGTGGGATTTTCACAAATGCTTTTTTATCAGGTTAAGTAGGTCCCCTTCTATTTCTAGATTTCTGAGTGTTTTTACCATGGAAAGATGCTGGGTTTTTGTTAAATGTTTTCTCTGTGTCAAATGAGATGATCATGTGGTTTTTTGCCTTTCAATCTTTGTCTTAATGTGGTACATTACAGTAATTAATTTTCCTATGTTGAACTACCCTTGAATTCCTGGGGGTATTGAACTACCCTTGAATTCCTGGGGGTAATCTGACTTGGTCACCATGTATAATCCTTTTAATACATTTGGATTCAGTGCCTTAATATTTTCTTGAGTCCTCAAAAAAAAAAAAAAAAAAAAATTATACATGGTGACCAAATCGGATTAACCCAGGAATTCGAGGGTAGTACAACATAAGAAAATGTTGCATTTTTGGGGGATTGGAATGAAAACTGACCTTTCCCTGTCTATGGCCACTGCTGAGTTTTTCAAATTTGCTGGCATATTGACTGCAACACTTTAACAGCATCATCTTTTAGGATTTGAAACAGCTCAGCTGGAATTCTATCACCTCCACTAGTTTTGTTTGTAGTAATGCTTCCTAAGGTCCACTTGACTTCACACTCAAAGATGTCTGGCTCAAGGTGAGTGACCATACCATCATGGTTATCTAAATTCAAATTCATTAGGAATAGAAATATTTAAAGGTAATTCAAAGTTTCTCAAAAATAGTTTGATTTTTCTCCCCAGTCATATCTTCCTCTGCTACAGTTCTCCCCATTTTTTGTTATGATAAATGTTAATTGACCCACTAGTGCATGTCAGAAGTGTGAAAATCTTTTAAATGTCTACCTTTCTCAACCCCTACATAACATTCCCTGGTGGCTCAGATGGTAAAGCATCTGCCTACAATGAGGGAGACCTGGGTTCAATCCCTGGGTTGGGAAGATCTCCTGGAGAAGGAAATGGCAACCCACTCCAGTGTTCTTGCCTGGAAAATCCCATGGACAGAGGATCCTGGCAGGCTACAGTCCATGAGATCGCAAAGAGTCGGACACGACTGAGCGACTTCACTTTCACATAATTTAATGACAGTCATATTTTTATTTGCCATAATTTATCTGGAAAATATTCATTCCTCCATTTTCACTTTCTTTAAGATTTTATTATTTCTAACCACGGTTTTAGGAGTATCCTCATCATAGCTGTACAAATCTTATCTTTCCACAATATAATTTTTGCCACGTCACATCCTAATTAATTTATGGGCAATACCTTAAGAAGTGTGATGAAATTCCTTTAATAAACTTGACTCCTTAAGTCTATTTCTTGTTTTGTTTTCTGTTATCCCTTCATAGTACCTGTTTGTTACAACCATGCCAATTGTCAACAGTTTCATAAGTGCATTAGGCAATCCTTTGCTTTATGTCTCTCAATTACCTGTACCTTAAATACTCTTCTCCATCCCCAAAACTTCAAATCACCTTTCAGGAATCAAATACCACTTTCAGAACACTTATACAAACTCTGGAAGCAGAAATAGGCACCTCCTCTACTATGAATAGTGCCTTACTCATATTTGCATTATAGCTTTTCTTCTATTATTATAATTATCTGCTTAGAGATCTATATTCTCCACTAGATAATGAAGGTACAGATTATATTTAAATTACTTTCTATACCTGGCAAATAGTGAGTACTTATAGTTTGAAAAATCAGCACACATTTGGCGAATGAATTAATGAACTCAGGGGAGTCAGACATATGAAATTTCACCAAGATCCTGAGCAAAAATCTTTTTTCAAAGCAGTATCTACAGACTTCTGGATCAACATGGCAAAGTAGGAAGATGTGGAAATCAGCATCCTGCATGAACACATATAGAGATCTATATTACTCTAGGAGGTGGGTCAAAAAAGATCTTGGTTTATGGAAGAGTGTGTTCTGCCTATGTTTTCCTCTAGGAGTTTTATGGTATAGCCTTATATTTAGGTCTTTAATTTATTGTGAGTTTATTTTTGTGTGTGGTGTTCGGGAGTTTTCTAATTTCATTCTTTTATATGAAGCAGTTCAGTTTTCCAAGCACTACTTATTAAAGAGGCTGTCTTTTCTCCACTGTACATTCTTTGATTCTTTTGTGATAAATTAATAGATCATAAGTGTGGGGGGTTATTTCTGGGCTTGCTATCCTGTTCCATTGATCTGTAAGTTAGTTTTTATGCCAAAACCATATGGTTTTGATTACTATAGTTTTGCTATTCAGAGTCTTTTGAGTTTCCATACAAATTGTAAAATATTTTTGTTCTAGATCTGTGAAAAATGCCATTGGTAATTTGATAGGGATTGCAT